TGCTCGTAATTCAGGCAAAATGGAGACCACCGGGAGCTGAGAGGGGCCATGGCTTGATTCCTTTAGGAGTGAGAGGAGAAGAAGATCTGAGAGACTTTCCGCATCCGCAGTACAGGAACCAGTCAGTCACTTTGCATTATGTCAATCGAGAAAGATGAATCAGCCCTGGGCATCCCATACTGCCATCAGAGCCACTGTTTACTGCAAGCAGATATTATTCATGAAAACAGATATTTCCCAGAGGCAGAAAACAGGTACCATTAACAGTGTGTGTCAGTCTCCGAAGTCTGGGTTTTGTAAAATAAACCTAATAGTGTGTTTTATCTCTTACTGAAAATATTACAACCAATAGAAAACTCTAAGAAACATTCAACTGAAGATAAAATAAAATCTAATTCACAGAGAAAACGATCCACACAGACATAAATCTGGAGCTTTTCTGATCCTCTTAAGCTCTATATAATTCACTTATTATAAAGATACATAAATCAAATAAAATTTTTATTCCAAGATTGAATCATCAAAAGAGGCCATATGGTCTTGAGCTCAAAGAACTCTGTCCTATTTTAGAGGCTGCTGTTTTTTTGTGTGACCTTTCAGTGCCTCAAACTTGTGAAACTGTATCACCAATTGCATCAAATACTTTTTTCCATCAAACCGGTTACATGCAGTTTCATGCACAGAATGTCCACAGAAAAATTCTAGGTTTTCAGAGTTTATAAGATAGTTGAGAAGTCAGGTCATATCCTAGGAAAGATTAATGTATTATGCAGACAAGTTTAAATACCAAATGAATGATTCAGTAAAAGAAGGCATTACGTTTGGAAAAGTCTGTACAGGAGAATACTTTACAGGAGTCTCTCCCCATCTATATCTTGTTCTGTACAGTTCTTTTTCTGGGTGGCAGTTACAAATGACTAAGAAAAATGGTGAGGAAATCTATTTATAGTTCTTTCCAACCCTCTTTCATAGGATGGCAGATGAGAGCATCAAAGAGAAAAATAAAAATCTGAGAGCTGTTTTTTTTTTCTCATAAAGCTCCATAAATGGAAGGTGCTATATAAGCACAGATACTCTGAATTTATCATGTACCCTAAAAGAAAAAATAACATAATCATTAAGGTATCAATTATTGCCTCATAAATCTGAGCACGGAAACCCAGAAAGGCAATATTAAATCTCAAATGAGCCAATAAAAATTTAATAAAGATGGCACTGAACTCCTCCACAATTAAACAGACCCAAAGATAATATTCTGAATTGGAAAGAGGAAAGCCAGATATGCCAACAATAAGCCTCTGAGGAAAAATTAGAATATCTGTTGACTTCACAGGAAAGCAGCCAACATGCTGCTTTATGCAAATATCGTCAGCCAAGAATGGATGCACCTTAAAGACATCAAGAAAAAGAGGTTAAATAACGTGATGAAAACCCTAAGATGAAGTATGAATGTGATTCCTATGTATCCTTATTTATTTTTTTAGAATAAGGTATATTTAGCGATGTTGGAAAAGTCACCTATGATTTTATTTTATTCTCATGAACTTCTGAATGACAATTTTCAGTTCAGCCTATACACGTAAAGTACTTTATTCAAGTCCTATATGAGCACTGTGCCATAATTAGAGTTTCCCTGATGAGTTCTTCCAACTATGAACCTTTATGAGTATTTATGTCTTATGGCGTGGTTTAATGTCTTTTTTATTTTTTAAAAACAAATGGAATTTAAATGCACTTCAAAAATTGTTATGTGATATAAGTAAGCTGGAAAAATAAGACACAGAGTGAATATTCAACAAATATCTGTACAAGCAATAGTCAGAAAAGCTCTTATTACAGCAGAGCATTCTATATAAAGAATTCATTTCTGTGTTCCCAATAGGTTGTTCATACATACTAACAATATTTGCTTGATCTAGTTGGTAAGACTTCCCATAAATGAGCCTATATAACAACCAAATATTTCTGTTCTCTGGTTGTGTGCTTTAAAACTTCAATTAACCAGAATTCAGAACCTCTCACTTAGCGGCTGTTTATTCTGCATTCCAATTCTTAAAAACAAAGCAACCACAGAAGCAGAAGGTACAAGGTTGATTAAAAATAAATTTGTATCAGTTATATATTCAGTCTAAAACTATCCATTTGATGGTTTTATTATACTTTAAAATGATTATTCAAGTTTTCAACAATGATCTTAAAGCACCACAAACACTCAAAACTTTGTTTTAAATCTTATATTTAATAAGGAAGGAAAATAGGTTAGTATAGTCTGGAAAGTTTTTTTTAAATTAAGAATAAAGATAAAAGAGTCTTCTGACTAGCTTTTACGTTAGCAAAAAATAAAGTTCAATTAACCACTAACACATAAGTTAACTGCGTGAAATATTTCACTTGACTATGGTTTATTTTACTATGAAAACATCGATACACCATTAGCCAAAAACCTTCAATAACCAGAGCCCCTTGCCCCCCAACTCCACCTCTATCTGCCAATTTGGAACTAGGGGTGCTGATGCTGATGGCTGAAGAAATTTAACAGCCTCCACGACAATCTCCTGTTCAACACAGAATGAAGTGACATTCCCTTTCCTGGAGACAGACAAAAAGCTCAGAAAAAAACATTTCACTTTTAATGTCACCTTGTTCAAGAGCTTCTGGCAACAAGCAACCCCTTCCAGCAAGCCTCCAGCTCCAGCCTGGCTCAGCCACTGCCCCGAGGCCTCTCCTCCCCTTTCTCACTTTGGTGACCACCCTTCTGCCTGTTCCTTTTCCTATCCTGCTTGCCCCTCCACCCTCACCCTTGAGATTCCCCCACATCCCACTTCATTTCTACTCCTGCCTGATCAAGCCTGAGTCTAGTGAACCACTCTGGCTTATCAACATTTTAACTGCACAGATGTCTTTGCAAATGATTCCACTCAGTAGCCTCCTATATCCTACGAGAATTTAATGTAATGCTCAAAAGATCTATGCAGGTGGTAAGGTAAGATATCAAATAGACCAGGCGTGGTGGCTTACACCTGTAATCCCAGCACTTTGGGAGGCTGAGGCTGAGGCAGGTGGATCTCGAGGCCAGGAGATTAAGAAAATACAAAAAAATTAGCTGGGCATGTTGGTGCATGCCTGTAGTCCCAGCTACTCAGGAGGCTGAGGCAGGAGAATTGCTTGAACCCAGGAGGTGGAGATTGCAGTGAGCCGAGATAGCACCACTCCACTACAGCCTGGGTGACAGTGGGAGGCTCTGTCTCCAAAAAAAAAAAAAGATATAAAATATATGGTTGCCTCATCTGTCTGCTTAAAAAAAAAGGATACTCTCCAAATAATTTTGAACTTAGAAATGTATCAGTAAAAGTCAATGATTATTTTGATAGTCCATGTTTAAAGCCTTTGAAAGTCATTTTAAAAATAATTTTGAAAAGTAATTATATCTAAAGAAAACTTGACAATGTGTCTTATTTATTTAGTACCTATGTGTAGAAATCACTGTGTAAGACAATGTCAGGACACAAGGAAGATTGAATACATAAGATATGTACATTAAAAAAATCCTAATTAAAGGTAGAAAACATGATAAAGAGATAGAGATATGTAGAACAAGTGTTGTAAGGCACATGAGATTACACCCAGCTATAAGAGTTGATCAAATGGCGTTTGAGATGACACTTGAAAAATTTAGGCAGATAGCTACTGGTAAGAAGGAGCAAAAGAAACGGCATGAGAAGGAAGGCCACCAAGGTGAGCAGTCCAATTTGGCTAGAAAACTGTGTAAGAAAAAGGACTATGCCCTGCTCTGCATGCTGAACACGGGGTTTTTGACAAACTCATACAGGAGAGAACTAAAGCTTCAGGAGTAGAATAGAATGCCAGAGGAAAGGGTTGCAGACACAGAAGACAGCCAAGAGCAGGTAACTCTCAGGCATACCTACATTTAGAGGGCCTTAATGTTCTTGAGATAGCTCAGGAAGAAATGGGACTATTGTTAAGCACCAGATTCTTTAGTGAGAGCCAGATAAGAAAAAACATATTATTAGTCTATAACAACAACAACAACAATCATTCAGTATGTCAAATTCTAAATGTATCAGTATCTGAGAACGTCATTTAGCTATCACTAAAGACATTTCTTACTCTGTTAAGAAGATAAACTATTTTTAGCTATTAACTTCCATCTAGAATGATGCTGAATTCTATAACTCATTTCTAAACAATGAGTGATAAGGCAGGGAGTCTGTTTAAGCTACCTAATTCACATAGACAAGAAGGTTTTCATGAAGACTTGCACATGATGTGCATACATGTAAAAGATCTACCGGGAAGTTCAGTTAAGCAGAATGCAAATAAGACCAACAAAACTTTATCAGCAGCATTCCTACTCAAAGGTAGGAAGAACTTCCAGTCAATACACTGCATCTAGTTTACTGACCTTTAAGGGTAGAAAGCACGTCTCAACCATCTTTGAATCCCAGGAGTTTAGCATAGTATCTGGTTACTTAGGCTTCCTATAAACGTTTCATGATAAGAAAATGAAGAAAGAAGGAAGGCCTAATAACTAGTATTTCAGATTCACATAGCATAGGCTGTCCTGGAGTTATTATACAATTATAAAATGTGCTCACAAATAATGTTCAAATTATGTCCCTCATAGACAATGAGCCATCAGAAAAAGACCGAGCTATACTTATTAAACTATGTTTTCTAAGGTCTAAGACAAGGCACAAATTGATTTTTTAAATAATTCTAATATGCATTAGAACTAAACAGTTTTTTTTCCACTTAGTTCTAAAATCAATAAACGAGAATACATACGTCCATACTTTGAACATCTCAGTTGATGAACTAGAATATACCCAATCTTTGAACATTTTATTTAGCTGATTTTTTAACTATATATTGAGTTCTTAAAGTTGTAATTCTGACAATTTTCATAAGGAAAAAATGCCATTGCTTAACAGACTATAACAGTTGACTGCCAGATAAGACATGAAGATGATTTTTGATACCTTTATAGTTTCAGTGGGCACTCCAGGCTCTGGAACTTTATCCAAGTAAGTGGTCAAGTCTTGATCGACATGTTCAAACACTAAAGTTAGTTTGGTTTCTCTGTCAGTTCGTGACACTGTGCACACATCAAACAACCTAGAAGAAAAAAGAAAGAGATTGAGTAGATGGCAATAAGCAAAGACAGCCTGTATGTTTTATACATATTCCTCAATGTGGTCTCATAATAGAAAAAAAAAAAGGCCAGTGTTGATCATTTCTTGTGATCATATGTAAAGATACCAAATGAAATCTGATACTTTAATAACAATATGAAGTTCAGGAGAGGGACAGAGTGTGTGGTTAAGGGTGAGAACATGTATAGTAACAATGAGAAAGCAATGCAATTGGAGCACAAGAATGCTTAGAGTTTCTTTAGTTAGGACCTTAGGTAGAACTTGCCAACAGGGATAATTTCAAAAACTTGTGGGCTAGGCAAAATATGTTTCTTCTTAGCTCACAATTTGAGAATTATCAGAGACAGAATGAACATTCTTTGGAGATGCTGAATGCTATAATCAAGATTTTCCTGGAATTTAAGGTGTTACAGCCACGTCTGTGAAAACAAATATGATGGAATATAGAGAAATTTAGTTTATTTCTAAGACAGCCCTCATCCTGCTGAGTCAAATCATTCCCTGGAAAGGGCATATATTTTTAGTTTTTAAAATTCCAATACCACAATCAACATTGTGAAATTTAAAGGTTTTTTTTTTAGCCGGCGGGGGCGGGGAGTGGTAGCCAGGGGAACCTACATTGGTAAACTATATTGCCCTTAAATGATAAAGCAACAGATTAACAAGTGTTTTGAATGGGTGAATCCAGTTTCTTCCATAAAAATCTTAGTATAAGTCAAAACTTAAGTTTTAAAAACAAAACCTTCAGGAGTAAAAAGAATTTTCAAGCCAAAGGACAAAATTTCCTTTAGTTTAAACCACAGTACACTATTTAGCACAACAGATTCTCACCAAATGTTTAAAGAATTAAACTACCCATAAACAAGTAAATTTTTTAACAAGAATGTAATATAAATACTAAGAAAAAGCTAATAAAATGCTATTCATATTACTTTAATTTTTAAAAAATGAATAAATGCCTTCTTCAAAGAAACTAACTATAAATGTGCATAGAATCCAATAACTAATGCACAGGGTTGACTATCAATTATCCAGCTTATATATTATCTGGTTTTTTTAATTACATTTAAGTTCTAAGATACATGTACAGAACGGGCAGGTTTGTTACACAGATACACACATGTGCCATGGTGGTTTGCTGCACCCATCAACCTGTCATCCACATTAGGTATTTCTCCTAATGCTATCCCTCTCCTAGCCTCCCACCCACTGACAGGCCCCAGTGTGTGATGTTCCCTTCCCTGTGTCCTTGTGTTCTCATTGTTCAACTCTCAGGAGTAAGAACATGCGGTGTTTGGTTTTCTGTTCTTTTGTTACTTTGCTAAGAATGATGATGTTCAGCTTTATCCATGTCCCTGCAAAAGACACGAACTCATCCTTTTTTATGGCTACATAGTATTCCATGGTGAATACATGCCATATTTTCTTTATCCAGTCTATCAATAATAGGCATTAGGGTTGGTTCCAAGTCTTCGCTATTGTGAAGAGTGCCACGATAAACATACATGTGCATGTGTCTTTATAGTAAGATGATTTATAATCCTTTAGGTATATACCTAGTAATGGGATTGCTGGGTCAAATGGTATTTCTAGTTCTACATTCTTGATGAATCGCCACACTGTCTTCCATAATGGTTGAACTAATTTACACTCCTACCAATAGTGTAAAAGCATTCCTTTTTCTCCACATCCTCTTCAGCATCTGTTGTTTCCTGACTTTTTGGTGATCACCATTCTAACTGGTGTGAGATGGTATCTCATTGTGGGTTTGATTTGCATTTCTCTAATAACCAGTGATGATGAGCTTTTTTTCATATGTTTTTTGGCCGCATAAATGTCTTCTTTTGAGAAGTGTCTGTTCATATCCTTTGCTTACTTTTTGATGGAGTTGTATTTTTCTTGTAAATTTGCTTAGGTTCCTTGTAGATTCTGAATATTAGGCCTTTGTCAGATGACTAGATTGCAAAAATTTTCTCCCATTCTGTGGGTTGCCTATTCACTCTGATGATAGTTTCTTTTGCTGTGCAGAAGCTCTTAAGTTTAATTAGATCCCATTTGTCAATTTTGACTTTTGTTGCCATTGTTTTTGGTGTTTAGTCATGAAGTCTTTGCCCATGCCTATGTCATGAATGGCATTGCCTAGGTTTTCTTCTAGGGTGTTTATAGTTTACGTCTTATGTTTAAATCTTGAGTTAACTTTTGTATAAGGTGTAAGGAAGGGGTCCTGTTTCAGTTTTCTTCATATGGCTAGCCAGTTTTCCCAGCAACATTTATTAAATAGAGAATCCTTTCACATTGCTTGTTTTTGTCAGGTTTGTCAAAGATCAGATGGTCACAGATGTGTGGCATTACTTCTGAGGCCTCTGTTCTGTTTCATTGGTCTATATATCTGTTTTGGTACCAGGACCATGCTGTTTTGGTTACTGTAGCCTTGTAGTATACCTTGAAATCAGGTAGTGTGATGCCTCCAGCTAGCATGATGCCTCCAGCTTTCTTCTTTTTGCTTAGGATTGTCTTGCCTACACAGGCTCTTTTTTGGTTCCATATGAAATTTAAAGTAGTTTTTTCTAATTCTGTAAAGGAAGTCGATGGAAGCTTGATGGGAGGAAGCACTGAATCTATAAATTACTTTGGGCAGAATAACCATTTTCATGATACTGATTCTTCCCATCCATGAGCATAGAATGTTTTCTATTTGTTTGCATCCTCTCTTACTTCCTTGAGGAGTGGTTTGTAGTTCTCCTTAAAGAGATCCTTCACATCCCTTGTAAGTTGTATTCCTAGGACCTCTGTTAAATTTTTAATGCCTTGCTGGTTCACCATGTCATTCTACTACATTTTTGGGCTTTATGGATCCTACGTTTGCTACTTCTCCGTGAATCTAAACTAAATTTTGAAAGGAAGATTAAAAAAAAAAAGTAAAAGAAACAAACAAAACACCAAAAAACCCACCACTGTCATTAAGTTAAATCTGGTGGGTCAAAATCAACAACTACACCAACAACTTCACAGACTTCACAGCCAGATCCAAACTTCTTTTTAATTGTGGGCAGTTTGAGGTGAGTTATACAACTCCATTAAAATTAACCAGAATCAACTGATATTTTTTTCCTTACATTTACCTACTTCTAAGCATTCTGATTTCTAAGTTTTAATATCTACTTCTAAACTTAATATTTTCCCCTGATGTGACTTATTCTGGAAAATTATTCTGATAAAGTAAAAACTAATAGATTAACCTAATAGATTATTAAAGATAGAACCATAAATCATGTTAAGTCCCACACTCCAAAAATATTATTGCCATCATGCACGGATTTAGTATGTGTGAAATTTATCAAAATTGTTCTTTCAGCTTGGTAATTCGAGGTGACTACCATTATTCATAGGCTTCTTTAAGCCATCTTAATTCTATTATTTCACATAATTGGACAACTTCACTCTTTTCTTTCTATTGAAGAAGAAAAAGGAGTTCCACAATCCAACTTTCTTTATATCTGTTGCTTGTATTTTTCTAATAAAATAAAACAGCAGTGAACCAAAAATAGCACGTCCTAAGGTACAAACACAGACCTGGTTTCATACTACAACCATTTCAGTCGTGTTTTTTAAACACCACTTTAAAAATATTTCCCAATATAATTAATACATTTAGCAAAAAAATTACATTGCTTACCACTGCCTGGAATCAATAATAAGTAACTCCAGTTCTTACTGTATTTATAGTTTATCATATATACAAAAGATATTATAGTAATCTCCAAAAGAAAAAATTTTCTTTTCCTCAGGGACATAACTGGAGAATAAAATGGTCCTAAAACACTGCTGCACCAAAAAGTCATCTGCCCCCTAGACCGTTGTCTTAGAAGTTACCTAACAACCCTGGCAGTACGCTCTGTTGCTTCATCTCACTGAAACCGTTTTCAAGCACTCTTTGCATGACACAATTTAAAAATAACATCTAACCCATCCATGTTGCTTTCCTCAGAGTTCTACTGCTCTCTTCAACATATTAAGACTCACTGATGTCACCTGCAGCAACTGGACTCCAAGCCTCAGTTTCAAAGGATGCTCAAGATAGGAAAGATGAGCTCACTGAAGCCACTACTAATTGTCCTAAATGATAAAAACCTTGGAGAAAAAGCACTCATTTCAATCAGTCGTTTTTTAAAATATGAAATTTTAAAGAGATGTGTAATAGTCCATAGAGCAGAACATTTTCATGTAAACTTTAATGTGTATACTTGCATATTCTTAAAAAATGGTATGAGGTAGAAGTGACTCTTCCAGGTTCAAGGAAATAATCCTCTTTGATTTTTAAGGTGCCATTATTATTAACTTCATTTGGGAAATGGAGCATATGAAAAGACTCCTCAGACATTCATAAATGGCATCAAGGGACATCAAAGTCCTAAGAGTGCCTATAGGATACTCTCCTTTTTGGCTCCAGGACTGGCTGGCCATCCACATCCTATAGACCCAGTACTCCATGGAAGACATCTGGGGAAATACTGCCCTTCACTAAACTATGAAATTTTGTCTGACTTAAATTATGTCTGACTAATGGTTAGTAAACATCACTGTAGTAAAAACTTACAGTTACATTAGTCACAATGGGTGGGAAATGCATTTTGAATCAGGAACTGTAAACATTAATCTTGTAAATGTTAGAATATAATATTTATGATGCTTTTTTTTGTCTGCAACGGCTCCCTTTGGAATTGCCCCAAATTAAATAGTAGTCACTTCAGTGGGCAATAAAGAAAAAATAGAAACTTTATTTTTATTGAGATGGAGTCTCACTCTGTCACCCAGGCTGGAGTGCAGTAGTGCAATCTCAGCTTACTACAACCTCCTGCCTCAGCTGCCCGAGTAGCTGGGACTACAGGTGCATGCCACCCTGGCCAGCTGCTTTTTGTATTTTCAGTAGGGAAGGGGTTTCACCACGTTGGCCAGGCTGGT